ATCTAGTATATATATATATATATATATATATATATATATATGATAGTGTTGAGTTCCGGATGCTAAAAAAGAGATAATCCCTCTGTCCAATTTATATGACACACAGTACTTTTCTTTAATTAGTTTAATCCAAAAGAGTGTCAACTTTTTATATTCAGATTAAGCTAAGTTTTAAATTCTAATTTTTTTCTGAATGAGATGACTTATAAATCATATAAATGTCTAAGATTAATTTTAAACTACAAATTTCAAAAGTAATTTCTATTTATTAAATTTTCAAATGGTGTCACATAAATTGTGACGGAGTGAGTAACAGAATGCATTATATCACGTTGCTTGCAATTAACGTACAAGTTTACAAAGTTAGAAGCTTTAAATCTATATATAATAAAAGGAGAGGCAAAAGCATATTATTAAGACAAGTGGCATAATCATAAAAAGCCAAGTGTCATTGTTAAGACAAAATAAACTACCTTTTTAACTAAAAAACTTTTTTAAATTTTGAATNTTTTTTTTTTTTTTTTTTTTTTGCAATGGTAATACATACCCCTATGTTTCAGCTGGTGTGAAACTTATTTAATTATTGGACATGACATTTAAAAAATAAATAAAGATTTTTAAATACTTTTATATATNAAACGCAAAAAATTAATTAAAAAAACCTACCTATTCAAGTTGGAGAATAGTTTCAATTTCGAGTTTTAAAATTATTTTAAAATAAAAAACTAAAATAAAGAAATAAAAAATTGCCAATTCAAATTGGGGTATGGTTTCAATTTGGAGTTTTAAAATTATTTTAAAATATAAAATGGAAAGTGATTTCTTTCTAATATAGTAGTCTCTCTCTCTCTCTCTCTCTCTCTCTCTCTCTATATATATATATATATATATATATATATATATATATATATATATATATATATATATATATATATATATATATATATTATAATTAGCTATAATATAAAATAAATAAAAAACTATCCATTCAAATTAGGGAGTACTTTCAAGTTGGAGTTTTACAAATATTTTAGAATAAAATAAAACAAAAAAATAGCTATAATAAAAAATATCCATTCAAATTTGGGGGTAGTTTCAAGTTGGAGTTCTAAAATTATTTTAAAATAAAAAAATAAAGAAACTTTCAATTCAAATGAAAAAAATACAAAAATATAAAAAAACTGTAGCTAATTTATATATAAGATATATATAAAAAAACAACACCACAGCTCTTTGAAATCATAATGCCTTTATATTCAAATAGAACAACATTAATCAGTGGCACTGCTAATTTTGTATCCAAGTGTTTTAGAAGGATAAGAAAAAGACAAAATTACAGAATATTGCACTCAAATAAGTTGATCTTGTATTATTTTAACCCAGTTACAAGTTTGCAAATGTGTAGCCAAATATCAAGAAGATCTTTTCTTTTCCCATTCCCTCTAATTATAACAACCTCATTTATTCCTACCTACCCTTATTGTAGCTCTCTCCTCATTTTTCACCCATAAATATTTAATTTAATTAATAAAAAAGAATCATACGCAGACAAAATTGAAAATAAAAATCAGTTCCCCATTCAGTCAACACTCATTCATGCCTTCTTCCATAACCAATACTTCTCTGATTTTTTTTTTTTTTTTTGTATATCTTCAAGTTTATACATACCTATCAGAACTACAAAACGCAAAAACATATGCAAGAAACCTAAAATCTCATCTCTTTTAATGCTAATCTTGTTAAATTTCGATTATGATTTTGTGAGAAATTTGGAGTGGGTATTGTTTGAACTTATTAGAAATAGTCTAAATAGGTTGTATACAAAGTTTGAAGTTATTTTCTGGAGATTTGGACTAGTTTTATACAAGAAATGCAAGTGAAAATCGTACAAAAAATTTCGTCGGAGATGCTTATACAATGTTATACACTTTTATACAAAGAGGTACATTATGTATACAGTTGTATAAAAGTGTATAAAGATGTATAATCACAGAGTAAAAATATTCTTGATACACTATGTATATAGGTGTATAAGAAGAATGAGAAGAAGAAGAAGAAAATGCGAGAAATTCACCAAATACCTGTAAATAATGTATCAACCTTGTATATAATAGTGTATAAGTGGTGTTTATACACTATTATACACTATTTATACATACATTATTATACAAATGAATCCTATCAATGGAGCTTCACGTGTTCTTCTTCTTCCTTGGGTATCCTCTGAAATTTAACTCAAATATAGCCTAAATCTACTCCAAATCACTTGAAATTTAAGTTTTGAACTCATCTTGATGATTCCAATCAATTGGGACAACACCCATTCCAAACAACTAACAAATCGGAAAACTCAATTTCTGAAATCGAATCTTCGAACCACCTGTAATGGTGACTTTTATTTTTCAAATCCTTAGTTAGCCATTGGAAACCGGAAAAGAATTGAAGGAGAATAACAATAGTTGAGAAATTGTGGTGCAAAGGCTGACATGGGAAGAAGAAGAAGAACAAAGAAAAAAGGGGAACGAAGAAAAAAGGGGTGAGCTAACTGGTGAAAAGTAATTTTTAGGTTATGTACAACCTGGGCTACACTGGGTAAGGGCTTCAAACGTGGACCATTTTCTGATACGTTGTTGGGCCAAGTAACAAGGGATGTAATTCTCCCTAAGAAAAATAGGGAGTAACAAATTACCAATATGTCTATTCTTTCAAAGTTCAAATCATGGTGGCAATTCAATTTGTCTTTAACATAGGTAGTTGGGCGTTTTCTACTCCATACTGGATGTGAGGCTAGTCTGATAGTGTCTTGTCTTGGACTGCTAATGCTTCATGTTGTGTTCATACTATTTTTTCGTTCCGTTTTCTTAGTACATTGCCATTGTTACTGGTATTATCTTTCTGATCTCTGTTGCTATTACTGATCTACTGTCTTCTTGAGCCGAGGGTCTATTGGAAACAGCCTCTCTACCCTACCAGGATAAGAGTAAAATCTGTATACAAACTGATACATGTTTCAGTCTTTCAGTTCAGAGTTGAGGATTAATTGTTGAATATGCACTTCAACTATAAACTTAATATATTAAATGCAAATAAACAACTTTCTAACCCCCAGCTGCAAAACTAGTTTAAGCTATCGATAGAATATGCTTCTGAAAAAGACTGTAACAGCCACAATTTATGAAGCTTTTGAGGAGACTAAAACTCATTCATAACTAACACTAGAAACCATGTTGAATTGATGTCAGAGAGGCTATCTATTCTAAGTTCTTCCTCTAATAAAACAGAGGTTAACTCGAAAGAGAAACAGGAAAGCTCTCCAGGAAAACACAATCTACCTAACTGTTCTAAGATAAGATAATCAAACCCCTATTTCTATTACTAACAAGAACCCAAGCACATCATGAAAATCATAAGATACAGCACTAGTTCTAAGCCTACTATCAGTACATATCAGACATTACTAACAAGTCCATTACTTGGGTTTCTCCGAACCTGGACCAGTCACCGAGCTAGCTTGACCATCAGCACCCGAAGGCTCGGCCTCAGGGTTGTCATGCTTGTTTCCTCCACGTGCATCCCCAGCGCCTGAAGTTGAAAGCTGGCTACCATTACTTGCACCATCAAGAGTGGAGTTGGGACCTCCAAGTTGCATGCCCGTTTGTTGAGGAATACCTTGCTGCTGTCGCTGCAGTTGTTGATGCTGCTGATCCTGCATTTGCTGGGGGTTGTTAAATTGCAGTGGCATCTTTGCCGTAAACATACCCTGTTGTTGAGTCATGGCTGCAGCCTGAGGGTGCTGCATGTAAAATCCTCCTTGTTGCATTGCAGGATGAGGAGCCATCTGCATGTCATGACAAACACTATAAACAAACTGCACAGAAGTAGTAAACAAACTAAGAGAGTTGATTTTACTAACTTGTGTTGGAATAGCTGGCGATTGTGGTTGGGCATCAGCAATTGCGGCTAAGTACATCAAGTTCTTCTGAAGTTTAGCCTGGTACCTAGATCATCGGGATATCAAGCTAAATTATCAGTAAAGGAAACACCAACTGGCTACTCTATTTAGCACTTCCAATTTAATGAGTTAAGTAATAAGACATGAATCTTATAATGAAATTGGAATAGGAAGCCCAGTGAAATTATCAGGCATGGGTATAACTTAAAAATGCTGTTACAATTTAACTCCAGTGAACTTGGTCGATATTTATGATGGTAATCGAACAATGTGGAGATTTGAAATCTGAATAAAAGCCCAAGGAATTGAACAGGGATCGTGTTCGGGGATCGAGGACCAAGTCTGGATATCATAAAGAGGAAGAAAAAAATTACTCTGAGAAAATTGCACTATCACGCTGCATGGGGCGCCGCGTGGCAATGCAATTGGATTTGGACTGTCAGAAACAAGCCTATGAATATCTCCATTGGCGCGGTGCATGGGGCGTCGCGCCCTGCGTGGTGCTTGTGTAATTTCATCTGAGTGTGTTCCAACTTCGGCCTGGAAAGGGTAGTTCATCCAGACCCACTTTTACATGGTATAAATACACCAAAAATACATTTTTGAAGGGGCTTTTGACCTACGGAATATTAGAAGAGCATTGGAGACTCGAAGGCACAAGGATTCATCATTCTTTCCTCAACTCAATTTGGATTGAATTCATGTTTTCTTATTCTTTAACTCTATTTGTGATACTTTCTCCATGATTATGGAGTAGTTTACTTTAAGGTTTGACGGATATGGTGTTTTGATTGATATTTGTGGATTTTAACTCTAGTTATTTGCATGAATTCGTTTATGGAGCTTTGAATTGATTGCAATTTTGTTCACCTAATTATTTAATCGAAAAAGGAATATTTTGGGTGATTATCTTTGCATTATTTTATTTAGTTTAATACAATGTCCTTTTAAGTAATCGAAAGAGCTTGTTGAATTGTTGATTAAATCAAGTTAGTAGAATATTAGAGAGACATTTTCCTAAAGACTAGTCCAGCAACGTATTATGGCATACCTTCACAGTGCTTTATATTAGTTCACTTCGTAGAGTTCAGATTTAATCGAGAAAGGAGTCCTGGCTATCCGATTCCCTCTATACATCTCTCTTACACAATGCAACTCAATTGAATATGAAAATATAGCTACTAAAGTCCATTTGTACCGTACTGGCTTGACACCTTCAGATGTTCGGACTATAGGTCCGAAAATTTCATGTTTTCGAAGTGAAGCCAATTCCGTTTGAATTGCTTCCTTCTATTTTGGCCAATCACTTCTCTGCCTACATTCATCGACAAATTTTAGTTCAAGATGCTCATCTTGTTGCATTACTTCAATAGCAACGTTATATGCAAAATCCTTATCAACAATTGTTGTAAATATTCTATGTGGAGTGGATGCCCAAGCTATTGTGGGTGTCCATTCCCTTCACTCTTTTACAATAGTAACTTTCACCTTTTCATGCCTATAAAAGGCAATACAACTCAGAATGGTACGACACACAATTGAAAATTGAAAAAAGGAATTACTCTTTTGTGCTCTTACTAGTATTTTTTAATAGCTTAAACTTTTGTTAATTACTTAGTTTTTACTATATTGATATTATTTCATAACACGTTATCAACAAGAAGCTCTAATCTTCTACCTAGAAGAGTTAAGAGTCTTTTTTCCTAATTCGGGCATAGTTCCATTTTGTTATACTGTTTATTTGGATCTCTTAATCTTTCTAATTTGGTTCTAGCATTTGATTTTGTCACAGTATGCATGTACAGGCTTTAAACTTTTAATGGCCTTGATTTAAAATTAATAGTTGTGTAAAAGATGAGATTCTTCTTTGATTAATTTATAAATTCTGGGAAATACTACTTACTGGTTCTTTATATTGCCCAATTATAACCTCTTTTTTTCATAAATATCCACTAGTGTTTCTAAAAGGTCACATAGTGTTTTTGCAAGAGAAAACGCGTGTGTGTGAGAGCTCACTACAGTAGTTTTATATCGGGATCCATAAAGTGCTAGGTGTTGTTCCTAGTATATTATATACATGTATCAATGCTAGTTCATTATTCTTATTAGCATGTATAAGATAGCATCACGCGTCCATTTTAAGTTAATAATAACCCCTTCATTTTTATAGCTATTCTGTCATCCACTTTTTAAGTAATTTTATCAAAACTAAACTTTTGATTAATTATCCAAAAATTTACAAGTGAGATTTCTTCATTAATAGTTATCAAGATTTCTATCCACTTATTTTCTTTGATAGTTTTCATCATGTCGAATTTATCAAAGCTTGAATTTGTGGGACTTGATATTGTATTAGGTGATACCCTTTTTTGCTTGAGCCCGACCGGGTTGGGTCCGGACCGGAGCAAATCGGGGCCATCGAACCCGACCTGGATGCAAGGTAGAACGACGGCCACGTCTACAACCGAGGTCGAGTCATTTCGAGACCGTTACAAAGCTCGATAGGAGTCACCACCGGATGGAGAAACACACAAGGTCGGAAGCCGGACTCGTAACGGATAACCAAGCGTCGCCGGATATCTCGCCCAAACGTGATTTTCTCAACCACTTCAGGCCATTAAGGCGTAATTACAGGGATCCCCGATGTAATCAATGGACCTACCTTATTTTTACCCTTAATCAGAATGTATAAAGGGGGATCTCTCAAAATTCTTGTGGATCATCAAGCACAATTGTTCTAAGCAATATTATACTCTGCGATTATTTACTTTAACAGCAATTGTTGAGTCTTTATCTTTATTTTCCTTAACCTAAAATCCTTTTGTATCTTTTAGTTCACGGATCCTTAAAACCCCATATAAATTCAATTGTTATCCGGATTCGAGGGTAAACAGTTTGGCGCCCACCGTGGGGCTAAGGATATTGGTGAGCTCTTTGATACTCTTTCTTGACGCATCACAATACACTGGTTCTTTGCAAAAGAGTCCATCTTACATTCAAATTACCAACTCATAGAATGGCACAATCAATTAACAACGAACTTGAACAGCAGACGGG